TCTTTTCTTAGGATAGTCTTTCAGAGGGTCACAGTTCAGCACCCTGATCCTGCGAAGCAGCGTGCCTAACGTTTCCCCCCCCCGCAGCCCATCCAGGCTTTCGGGGCTAACATGATCCCCCCAGACAGGTGCTGAGCTCGATAACGGCCTGCGATCCAGCTGGAAGAAAAATAAACCAGGATTAGAGCTGACGAAACTCTTCTGTTGGAGCAGCAAAGTCATTTACCGAAGCTTAAAGGGAGTTAATTTTTTTGACGGAAAAGGCAGGAATGAAGAAAGCAGCAGGCCTTGAGAAGGAAAACAGCTGAGCGGTAAAACAGGTGGGTGGGATTAGGGCAGAGGAGCTGGAGGCGAAGGTCTCGGCTGGGGATCAGTCCTGTGCCAAGCAAGGTCTGCTGCCCAGCGGGGGAGAAACGCAAGTGCTTTATGCCCACGAGGAGCGGGTAGAAGCTGCTCGCTCCCGTGAGCAGCGGTGCCGAGGCAGCCGGGTTTCCTCACCAGGCACCCTGAGGCTGAACTCTCCCCTGTGTCTACCACGCAGCACGAGCTCTCCTTTCTTCTTCCCCCAGCACGCTGCAGTGGGGTCTTTCTCCTCTACTCAGCTGCTGATTTTCCACAAATCCTCAGGAATGCAGTAATAACCTTTACCCTCCGGCTACGCAGGGGCAAAGTCAACAGTGAGCAGTAAGGGAGCTGCAGGCAGATCCGATCCCCCAGGGCAGCGTGGCCACCCGAGCCAAGCTCCTGCGGTCGCTCACCACACAACACGACTGTAAGACACACGCAAAGAAAGCCAAGAGGAGCTTACACCCCCTCAGGTGCACCGATCAACTGAGGCAGGGGCAATATTCGGAGAGGAACTCAAGGTAACCCTGCGGCACCACCACCCCCCCGCAGCCACCGCGGTGGCGGGTGCTTGGGGACTGTTAACGACGCTGGAAAAGCTGCCAGAGAAGTTGGACGCCGTCATCCCACTTCAGAAAATAAACAGATAAATGTCACTCACTGTCCAAGTGCTATCAGCACAGACGCTGTTGTCAATAAATCAGAAGTATCTAGGAACAGCTTGAACAACTTTTATTTTTTTTTTTTAAAGTGCTTAAAACGTAAATAACAAGCTCTTTATAAACATTAGTTGCAACTATTAAAACACGAAAACACACAGAACCCACTTCCTGCGAACGTGAAGTACAGGGAAATCAACAACTCCGAAAACCCTGATGCTTCTCTCCCCCGTTTTGGGATGTTTTTCCACCCCACGTTTATAACACGAAACAGACGGCGGTTTCTTCACAGACAAGTCATAAGGCTGAGTCTACGTGACACTTCAGTATCCACATCCCTTCAGGTTTAGTTCCAGTTTAAGGATATACCTTGGCGGTTCTTCTGGCCCATGACTCTGGGCCAGAAGGGCCAGTCAAGGCAAAAATAAATCACTTGGCCAGAGTTCTTAAAAAGCAAGAGACCCAGTTGTGGGCTGACAACAAAAGCAGAGCACAGCTGTGGGGAACAGCACCCTGCGGAAGACCTTGTGAAACAGCTCGAGCACGGAAAGACAGACCAGGAGGCAAAAGAAAAACCCAGAGTAATTGTTATGGCCGTGTTTAAAACGGAACCAGAGAAAAGCTGCTGCTGGC